GATTCTTGCTAGAGGTTGTAGCTAATAAACATAGCTGAACTGATTTTGCATTGTCTCTTGGCGTTCTTTGGGCTAAACCTGACATCAGTCTTCCCCCTTCATAATTCCATTCCATCACCTCTCTCTCTTTTGCGTAGTGGAGCAGTATTATTATTCTCTCTCCACTCACCCCTTCCAGTCCTTTGAACTAGTATCAAACTGAACAAACCTGTACAGGATTACACTGCTGGTGTTTGATACGAGACAATTGAACGGGGCTAATTTGAACGGGGCTTGGTGGAAACCAGAATGCAGAGGTCACCTTTTTAATTACAACTCACTTTGAAGCATATCCACCCTCTTTTTAAAGGAAGGCTCATTTAGACATAGTGAGACAAGCTACTTGTTAAGGTTCATTTACTGGTGGTGCTTGTCTCACAGTATGTGGGCGGGCTTTATTTGATTGTGAGCATAGACACACTTTCTGGCTGTACCACAGTAGCTCTCTCTCCAGCTGGGTTGCACGTTTTAGCTGGATTGCTCCCAGCAGGCACCCAGCTTAGCCAGAAGCTAATTATAGAGAACGGCCTGTTGTTTTTGTCTCCTCGCTGTCCTTGGTTCTCCCTTTCGCTTTTTCCCAAACCCGCAGGGTGGTGATGGTGTTGGGGGCAGGGAGGGGTCCTCTAGTAAATGCCTCCCTCCGAGCTGCTCGCCAGGCCAACCGGCACATCAAGATTTACGCCGTGGAGAAGAACCCCAATGCTGTGGTGACGTAAGTTTTTCCCACTTGCCTATAGATTTGTCCTTTGCGCGAAGCTCTGACCCCAAGGGGCGGAAAAGAAAAGCGAGTGCCTACGGGTGCTGTTCTGTGGGAAGAACCCAAGAAACCCACTCAGGCTGCATTTTGTCTGCTGCTGGGAGGAAGTCAGACATTTTATATAACCTGGATTTGGCGCGTGATCCTGGACATGTATTTATTTAAGGCAGTCTTCCCCAGCCTAAGCACCCTCTGGATGTACAGCCTTAATTCCCAGAATTCCCCAGTCAGCATGGCCATTGCGAATGCTAAGAGTTGAAGTCCACACATCTGGAGAGCACACTGGTGAGAGAAGAATGATTTTTCATTTTGCTGCTTAGCCCAGACGGGTAAAAAGTCTGTAATAAGGCAAAATGATCTAAAAGCCATGGCAGGAAAGGGGGGATCGGGGAAGAAGGAGACTCAGGCACCACTGGTTACAATTACAGTTATGGCAGCAACCAATTGGGAGAGAAGCAGTTCTGATTGCCTGATGGAACATCTGTCTCTCGGTGATTGTTGGGAAAGAGCCAAAGTCTGAGCAGTGTTTTTCAGCCTTGGCATCTTTAAAATGGGTGGACTTCAACCAAGGTGGCTGAAAGTGGTGGTCCTACTGTTTGAGCATGCCACAAGCACTTTGACGAATCTATCCATTAGCATATGCTTTCTTTCCAGCCTGGCTTTTCCTGTGAGATGGAGTGTTACGTGCACTTCTGGAATAGGGCAGAGAACTCAGGAAACCGTGCTTCGAGAGCACCTGCCTCTCCCTTTCCTTCACATTATCAAAGGATGATGGATGAAATGGGGACAGTGGAAGCCTTAGAGCAAGCTCCCACTCTTTTCCTTCCATGCCTTGCCGTTGGGAAATGGGACTGTTAGCATTGTTTGCTCTACGGGTCAGTTTTGCACTGGAGAGAACCTTCCACCTAATCAGGGAAGTTAGCTGCTCTCACAGGCCTTGACATCTTCCTTCCCTCTTTCTTTCAGGTTGGAGAGCTGGCAGTATGAGGAATGGGGTTCCCAGGTGACAGTGGTCTCCTGTGACATGCGGGAATGGGAGGCTCCAGAGAAAGCGGATCTCATGGTGTCAGAACTCCTGGGCTCCTTCGCTGACAATGAACTATCCCCAGAGTGTCTGGACGGGGCAGAACATTGCCTCAAAGGTGGGTCATAAGAGACAAAACCTTTAAAAAACGTTGGGCGTGGCTGTGGGGCAAAAAGATATAAAATACTATTTGTGTCCGTTTGAAGATGCAGTAAGCAGGCTTTGAAGATCTGTTGATTTGCTGAGCCAGTCAGGTTAAAAGTCCTGTTACAACTGTAAGTGACTGATGTTTCTTTGCTTCTCCCCCTACACAGAGGGAGGGGTGAGCATCCCCTGTGACTATACGTCCTTCTTGGGCCCAATCTCATCCTCCAAGCTCTACAACGAAGTGCGGGCCTGTCGCGAGAAAGATCGTGACCCCGAGGTGAGGTGCCCTGCATTCTGTTCTCTGTGCCCTCAAAGGTATTCTTTGCTGAAGAGAAATTACAGTCTGTCTGGAAAAAAGGCAGAATCCTTGATCTCTTGAAAAAAAAATAGAAAGTAGGACTTTTCCTAACAAAAAGTATGCAATAAAGGTCAGGTTAAAACACCTAAAATTATTTATTTTCAAATATTGTGTGTATTCAAAGATCAAGTTATTTCAGTTAAAATAATAGCGTTCTATTAAAATATTGAAGGGTCTCATGATATCTGATTATATACATATAATCAAATATACATGCTTTAATCAAATTTCCTAATTTAGATTCATCCACTGAATTTGCAGGATGCCCTGAACAGGTTTTAAATTTATCAATGATATAAAACTAAAAGAAAAAAAAATCTCCTGCATTATACAAAATCAAATGTATACTCCATCCTACATGTTGAAGAGAAATAATTACAAACCTTTAATTTGATTTTCAGATACAAAGAGAAATTGATGCCTTTGTATAAGAGAGATTTTTGAATTGTATTTTCAAATCTGGTTTTATTCTGTTTTATTTCATTTTCCTTCCAGGCTCAGTTTGAAATGCCGTATGTTGTTCGCCTTCACAACTTCCACCAGCTAGCACCCCCAAAAGCCTGTTTCTCCTTCAAACATCCCAATCCAGGTAGGAAAAATACTCTTGGAGAGGAAATTACTAATTCAGTGTTGTGGAAAGGAGGACTTGCCTTAGCTACATTGGACGTTCTCTAAATAGGAGGAAGCACTGGCTGCATCTTTTAAAAAACTTTTACTACAAAACCTGGGTTGACCCACCCACAACAAGCAATCTTCCAGTCTCTTAAAAAGAGCAGAACTTGGCATGGATGTTTCTCCTTGCTACCTTTCGAGCCTCTGGGCTCCCCATATTGACTCGCCATTTCTTTTTTCTCTTACAGACCCTCTCAAAGACAACAACCGTTACCAAACACTAGAATTCCAGGTGGATGTGAATACAGTGCTTCACGGTTTTGCAGGCTATTTTGAGACCACTCTATATGGAGATATTACACTTAGTATGTTAAGGGAAGTCTAGGGTTGGGGTCAAAGAATGTGCCCTTCTCTTTACAGATGCCTTGTTGCTGCTGAACACCTACATCTCTCTCTTTTTTCCCCTTTTTCATCTCTCCACTCCTTCTTGTAGGTATTCGGCCCGAGACTCACTCACCTGGCATGTTTTCATGGTTCCCTATTTTCTTCCCCATCAAGGTAGGTGTTTTTTAAAAATTCCCTGTAGGAGAATAAACTCTCTGTTGGCAGTATTCACCTTGGCCAGTGAGAATTTTTCACCAAGGAAAACTGTAACAAAACCAGACTTTAACATACAAGGGTTTTACATTATAGTATAAGTAAGAAAAGGCTCTGTGTTTAGCTGCCCTGTCTGGTTGCCTGCTATCTTCCTTCCTACATCATCTTTGTTGCCCGTTACTTCTTTCCTCCGGTAATTCTTTCCATCGTGAATTGATCAGTTGAAGGGCACTTAGCCCATTTGTTAGCTAGACATGAAAGTTTAGCACAGTGCAGCTTGGAGGACTCCAAATTGGGGAAGGCTGTTTAAAGGCAGTAAATCAATAGTCCAGCTATCAAGGTTGCAGCCTGAGCGGCCTGGGGTTTTAATTTCCCTTTCAGACATGGGCAGATTTAAAACAATTCTAGGGTTGTTGCCATTATTTCTGCTTACAGTAAGTGAAAACCTGGGAGAAAGTTAAAGGAATATCTAGTTGTGATTTAAAAAAAATATATCTTTGTTCCTGTGGCATCTCCAGTTGTGTGTAGAAAAATGCTTGTGGGACAAAGGAGTGACTCTGTGTGGGAGTAATATTCGTTTGGCCCAGAATGATTCAGCTGCTGTTAATGGTGTTCTACCCACAGCAACCCATGAGTGTGCAGGCAGGGGAGAAGATCCGAGTGGCCTTCTGGCGTTGCAGCAACTCCAAGAAAGTGTGGTACGAGTGGGCGGTTGTTTCCCCAGTGTGTTCTGTCATCCACAACCCCACAGGACGCTCCTACACTATTGGATTGTGAGCAGGAGTTCATGCTGTTCCCCCTTGCTCTGCACTGAGACACGAGGAAGCCTCTTCTGCTTTGCACTCGTACAAGAGAGACTGATTTTTCTACGCAGGGGCATAAGGTCTTCAACGCTTGCTGGCTGCAGGTCGGAGCAAAGTCCTTGGCTTGGCTTCTTCCTCCTGCCTCGATCATGTTTTTCGGTCAGTGAAATTTCAATAAAGTTGCTGAAATGTGTCCTGGCAGCCACTACCACGCAGAAATAATGACTTGGAGCTGCATTTTCTTTTTAAGGAAAAAAAGATGCTGCGTTCCCAGAAGTTCATTTGGGTGTTTTTATTAAACTATCCTGTTCCAGACAGGATAGGCCTGTCCAGTAGAAGCCCCACCTTCAGAGAAATGCAGGTATCCTGCCAGCAGTGACTTGATTACCGCAAGGGGCTGTATGTAGGGTTGCCCTTGAAGAGTGTCCAGAAGGTACAAAATGGGGCAACCGGGCTGTTAACTGTAGCCTGATAACAGGCACGCTTCGTGCCAGGCTTGAAAGATGTGCTTGAGCTGTTGCTGCTGCTGTTTTCTGGGCAGGTGGTTTTGTCTCATCAGTCCTCAATGCCTGGGGGCCCGGCTGCGTCAGGGTTCCCGGCTTCAATTTGAACCAGGCGGCCTTTCGAAGGTGGCCTCCCTTTCCCCAAATTACGAGCTCCCTCAGAGTGTGCTCAATCCCCAGATTTAACGGGAGGGGCGGATTATGGAGACCTTTGGTCCTTCCGCCTCTCAATCCCTCCTCAGCGCTTCTGTGGCTCCTCGCAAGCCTATGAAAGCGCTCCAGCGGCGGAACAAAGGCCCGGTGGCTATCTTGGCTCCGGGGAGGTGAGGCCGCCGGGCTCGCAGTTGGGAAACAGCGGGGCGTCGCCAGCGGACGACCAGCGGGCTGCCAAGGCCGCAGCCATGAACCCGCGGAGATGGCCGGGTCGGGCCGCTGTTGCCGTGGTAACTGCGCAACCCCTCCCCCCTTTCCCTTGGTACAGGAGCTTCGTGGCCTCTGACCTGCCCGGAGAGTGGCTCCCCTACTGACTCGACGACCAAACGACCAATCAGGGCTTTGTTTGTACCATGAAGAATTATCCAATCAGGGCAAACCTCAGAGGGGAGGTCGCTTTCTTGGGCTTTACGAAACAGAATTGGTGCTTCGCTCCGCCTTCCACACAATAGACCAATGATATTCACTGTACTAAATAAACTTTCCGCTCATCCAGCCAATCAGCCGCCCTCACAGTTTTTTCCGTCGGCTTGCCCAATTGGCTAAAAGGAAACCCCACCCCTGGCTTAACAACTATTGGTTTTCCTACGTACGGGGGAAGTTAGGAAAAAAATCTGCCTCAATACGCCTTTTGAACCCTTATCGAATCAGCGGGAACGTCACCGATGGAAAGGCCGCCTCCCCGGCGCAGCCAACCCAATCACCGCCCGGATTTTCACATTGGGCCCCACCCACTTCGACACGCTTCATCTTTCCTCCTTACCCTTTAGCCAATCCGCAATGTCAAAGCTCCTGCGCATGCGCGCTGCACCCCCTCGCGAGGCGAAGGAGAAGGGAGGGGGAAGGTTCTGGAGGGAGCAGTGTCCGCCGCCATCTTAGAATCGCTGCTGCTCCTGCTGTTGCGGCCGCGTCTGAGGAGGGAGTGAAGGACTCGGAGCCCGGCAGAACGGAAACGATTGCCGGGGTCTAACGGCCAAAGGGGAGGGGGAGGTGGGTGAGTGACTTAGAGGAAGAAAAAGACTCCAAAACAGCCAGGCCTGAGGCGGTCAGAACATTGAACGGGTAGTGGCAGTGACGTCACGCCCGCGGGCGGTGACGTCAAACGGGAGGGGTTTTTAGAATTCCCACGAGTGTTCACAAGGGGGGGAAGAGCAGCTGCCGAAAGGGGTGTGGCTTCGGGGAGAGGGGCGTGGCCTTGCCCCTGGGGTACCTTCGGCCTTTCCTTTCTTCCTGGAAGTGTCTTTTTGGGGAGGGGGCAGGTGGGAGGGAGGAGCGCAGGTGTGGGGGGGGTCCTCGGCTGCAGGGCAGGTAGGTGACAAGATGGAGCCTGGGGAACAGGGTCAGGGACGGGGAACATGGCGCGGAGTGTGTCCTTGTACATGTGGCGCTCCTTTTCTTCCCACAGGCGCTTGTGCTGCTGTGTTCTGGAGGTTCATTTCCTTAGTAGGGGCGAGTTAGGACTCGAGGGAGATCCAGAAAGCTCCGGGAGTGAGGAGAGAGAGGTACGTGCCGTTGTTGGGCCCGTCGGATAATGAATAAGCTACAGCCGCTTCGAGGGTGATGGTTGGGGAAAAATGGGATAGAAATCTGCTGGATGGAGAGATGCGGAACGGGATGCCTTGATGCTGAAAGTTCAGTATGGCGGCTAGTCGGCCTTGCCTTTGTTCTGGGTCCTCCTTTGCAGATTTACTTAAAGTGGGTGGGTTTTGCTTAATAAGACTTAGTTCCAGGTGACTGAGATCTGAAAATGGCGAAATTGCCCCCATTCTGGTGTGCTTAGACCCAGAAAAGTAGTTTGGAGCTGCCATCTTTGCAAAGCCTGTGAACTGGTGATTATGACATTCTTTTTGAGCTAGATGGTGAGTGAAGTGGAGTTTTCAGTAAGCTTAGCATGGAATAAGTAAAGAGAAGAGGCTTGGAGATTGCTTAGGCAGGAAAATGGAATTTGTTTAAACCACGTTTGTCTGCTTTTAGAAATCTAAAATCCTGTGTTGCATTAGAAAAGGCTTGATGCTGAGAGATTATCTGGGTTTGAATGCACGTGGGACTTCCTCAAACAAAGCCTAGTAAACAAGGAAGTTGGGTGCATATGCTGTAGTAATATATCTTCCATGAACTGAGTGCAATAATGCAGTTCCTTTAGAACACTGTTTATAAAGGCAGTGAGCCTGGAGTGTATGTGTTATAATACTGGATCATAAAATCTGTATTTTTTCGGATTTCAGAAGAGATTCTTAATCTGGCAGTAGGAAAAAATAGATCCTGGGGAAAGGAGGTAGGGATGATGGAAGATGAAATTTTAAGAACGGGAGGTTTACAGGTTCCCATCCTTTTTTCAGAAGTGTGAATGTTGGGAATGTTTCAGATCTACCCAAGCTCAGGCTGTTAACGCATCTATACAATGTACTTACTTTTATAAATATATTCACAGATCCTAAAAGTTGGGAACTTGGAATTTTGCAGACTATAAAATAACCATGAGTGTTTGTGGCATGGAAATGTCTGGAAGAGAAGCTTCTTTGCATTTTTGAATTTAAGTAAAAAGCCTGAATGTGATACTCTCTCCAGATAAACCTCTGATGCTAAGTTGGCATTTCAAAAGGCCTCTTGTGTCTGTGGGGAGCCCTACTATGGGCAAAGAGCTACAGTTGGTTGATTTCAACAGTCTGCTTAGCATTCTTGTCAGTTTTCCACAATTTACATGACTTAATCTAGGAAGAACCAATGGTGATCCTATGTGTTTATGAGCCTGTAAGTTTTATGTTCCCCATGCCTGCCCATTGGGAATTTTTAAAACCCATTTGTTTTTGTTTCTTCAGTAGAATATGCAGAATGTACTTTCAAAGCTCTCATTGTAAAAATTTTAGGGCATTATGAAGAAAAAATAAGGAGTATTTTTTGCTATATTTTCCAGTGGGTGTTGTCTTTGTTGCTAGATACTGTCAGGTTTTTTGCTTGAATAAATTGTTAGACAGTGAAAAGAGGTTATTTGAATTTCCTACTTACATTCCAGTAAATTTTCTGTTATTTTGGAATAAGTAGTAGCTTGGTCCTTTCATAGGTAAAAGAGAGTGCAAGAAACATCAGAGTTGATGTACAGTTGCTGATAACTTCTAGGGGAGACTTCTGTAAACAGGATAAAATTCATAGTTTAGAGAGAAGGAAAAGCAGTCTTGAGACTTACAGGAATAGTTTTATTTTCTCCTAATGAGGAATATAAAGGGTTTGCCCTTTGAAATTCTGAATACAATAAGTTTTTTAAAAGCTTCTACATGCTTACAGCCAACTTGCAAATGATAGTAATCTCTTTTATTCAAGATAGCATTTGTTCTTAACTGTAGGGTTACTGTTATAGGAAGCTTGGCTCTCTTCTGAGCGGCCTTAAGGCACTGATTCACTATAGGAAAAAGAAAGTTCAAGGAAAGAAAGGTGGCCTGACAGGGGAGAGAACCAGACACATATTGCTCCTGCCAGCTGAAGTTTAGCACTGCAACTGTGGAAAATGTTCTGTGAAAGATGCAGAAACAAAGAAATGTACTGACTGCTTCTGATTAGGACAGTTTGGGGCTTGCCTGTCCTGTCTTGGACTTGTTTTAGGAAGGTGTTTGAAATGCCTTGTTCTGTTCTTCTAATGGCAGCATCAATTAGTGCTCTAAACTGCAAATACTTATGCTCATAGTCCAAATTAGAATTCTCATGCTGAGCTACTGAAAAGCTAGCTGTTACTAAACTGGTCAGTGAGAGGGTAAAGTTTAGAAAAGGACCAGAGTTGCTGTGAAATTTTTGTGGAAGTAGAACAGAGGACAGTGCTGCCCCTGTTTTGGGTTGGTGAAATCAGTGGGCTTCTCTCAATTATGAGCCTGCAGCTTATACATGCTTACAACTAGGAATGGGCCAAACTCACCAGTTGGAGAACTCAAGAATGTTCTGTTCTGCCCCCAGAATGTCAAGGTCCAGAAGGGAGGTGTTCCATTCCTACAGCGTTTCTCAACCTTAAAAGCTTTAGGATATGTGGACTTCAACTCCCAGAATTCCCCAGCCACCATGATGGCTGGGGAATTCTGGGAGTTGAAGTCCACATATCCTAAAGTTGCCAAGGTTGAGCACTACTGCTTTTCCAGATCATCAAGGTTTGCACATCTCTACTCAGATTCCAGAGTTCTATAAAAGTAACTGCATGTTTGAATATAGCTATGGAAGATTGAAGTGTTATTGCAGGATGTAGGGTTTTTCACACATAAAGCTGGGATTTCTTTTCTTTAGCTTTTAAACATGTTTATTAAATACCTCCTTTTCTATTTTTAAGTAAAGATTTAATATTAAAAATTTATATAAACGTTTGTAATATATAAATAGATGGATAGAACACAGTTTGAACCAGAATTGTAAAACTCTTTTAAAAACCAACTTTAACAAAAACATGGGAATGTGGTTCTTAGGAAAAGTTGGGATTTCTTAGCTGCTGATAGATAGCATAGTTTTTCCTATAACTCCTTCCCCCACCCCTCAATCCAAACATCTTCTAGGCCTTTCTTTTCCAGTTTGTTGATTTAAAAACTGGAGCTGGTTGCCTATCCGACTGTCTTTTTTCAAAGCACGTTATACTTGCAAAATACTTATACCTTGAGTGGCACCTCGATTCATGAACTTAATTCGTTCCACGATTCTGGTCACAAACCAAATTGGTCACCAACCGAATCAAATTTTCCCATAAGGTTCAATGTAAATACGGTTAATCCGTTCTGAACCATCCTTAACCACAAAAGTATGAAACAAACTGCAGTACAGTATGAAGAGAGAGAACACTAACCTTGCTTGAGGTGACACCAAAAAGCTTCGCAGCAAGTGTCTGTCTGCGACCGCGATCTCACCTAGAGGAAGCCACGACCATGTGTCAGAGCAGGGAAGATGGCTGTGGATAGTGTTCGTCACCCGATGCGGAGTTCGCGAACGGAAGCAAAATTTTGCGAACGCTGCTGTTCGTGAACCGAATTGTTCGTGAACAGAACTGTTTGTGAACCGAGGTATTACTGTAGTTATACCTTAACCCAGTGGAGGAACAGGGATGCGTTCATTCCCTGTCGTCTGAAGGATTTTGGAATATGAAGTCTTTTGAGATGGGACTGGATAAAGGTACCTCCGTGAGCAAAGTTTGCTCTGAAATAGTGGGAAAAAAGAAGTGAAGGCAAGTTGTTATAAGTTGTTTTCTTTATGGGAAAAGCTGGTGGACAATTTGAAGGGGGGGTCCATTCACGTTCCAGAATCCCAGAGCATTCTTGTTGGTTTCCAGACAGGTGGTTTTAGAGCACAGTTCTGTTCTGGAGTCTAGAACATCTTGTATCCAGGCAACATATATGGCCCTCACTCCTCTTCCATGTTCCACCTCTCAAATCCATTCAGGCCTCCCTCTCTTCCAGGCTGTGACCACATCCTTTGCCTGCTAGACTCGCTTCCCCACCAGCTGCTCCTGTGCCTTGGGGTGGTGGGGAGCCCACCCATTTGGGCCAGCCATGGATCCGGCGTTCCCCAATCCATCCCAGGACCCTGTGAGTATCCAGCCTTCTTTCCCTTTTCTTTGGGGAAGATGGGTGTTGTAGAGTTTCACTGGGAAGCTCTATCTTCTTACTCTTACTCTTTCTCTCCTTATTCATAGACCCAAGAAGATGGCATGGCCTCAGATGATTTTGATATAGTGATAGAAGCCATGTTGGAGGCCCCGTACAAGAAAGAGGAGGTGAGGAATGGGATCTTAAAATCAGCATGTTTAACCTGTGGAAAAGTATTACTGTGCTGTATTGTGCCAAGAGTCCTGAGATAATGATAACGGCAATACAATTCAGGATAGTTTTGGAATATTGCTGGTTCCTTGATCCAGATCTTGAATCCCCTCCACTTCTTACCTAAATTCATAGATATTCATCTCATTCCCCTCAAAACATAAGCGTTTTCCTTTTTTAGCAAAAAAGAAAGAAAAGGCATAGAAATGTATATCATGCTATTTGTATAAGGTAAAATAAGATGGGGTTTTTTTGGTTTTGCTGAATTAAGCCTCAAATAGCTTTTCATTAATTAAAACAGGCCTAGCTTATCCCTCCAAGACACCCCACCCTGCCCCCAAACAGGCCAAAACTCTTGGAGGCTGGTAGGGGGTGGTGAGGCAGAGTATGGTGGGGGGGGAGGAAGGCCAATCCCCAGTGTTGCTGGACTCTGTTTATTTGGAGGTCCACCTCATGTAAAATCAATTAATTAAAATATAGAGCCACTGTGGCAAGGGAGAGGTTTCTCCTTTTCTCAGTGTTTGCTGTTTATGCCCCCCTCCAATTAATCTGTGATAGTTTAGCTCTAAACTACTATATATTAATACTCATTTATTATTAAGGCACTTTTGTTCAGTCTCTCCATTGTCCCCCTCATTCTCAGTGACAAAAAGCGAGAATATTGAGAGATGATGTGGGCTATTATGCCTTAGTTGTGCTAATGTGACTTGATGGTTCAGTCCTTTTTGCTTCTAAAGTATTAGGGCTGAAATTCTAAGGAACACATTAAAAATGGAGGATGCCCTTTGGATGTTGGGGTTCAGGATTCCACCCTCCTTACTGTAAGTTATTTAGCCACCCTCAGCATGCTTCTAGAATTCTTTTGCTTGTCACTTTGCACTTGCTGACTAGCCCGAAACGTGCTGCCAGTTGGTATCATGTTTGTGTAAGTGGAGTAGGGAATTGTGTTTGCGTGCCCACTGTGTCTTGGTGCCCCTTTCCTGCTGAGCCCACTCTTCCTGTGTTTGCTCCAGGCCCAGCCAGGACCCTCAAAGCTGCCAGCTGATCCCCCCACAGCCCAGGTAATGTACAAAAACTGGGGGAGGGAGGGGGTATGAGAGGGAGGTGGAGGGCTACGAGCTAACCCACTTTCGACCTTTTTTCTTAGCCGTCTCAGGAGGAGCCAGGAAAAGAAGCAAAGAAGGACAGCGCCCCCAGCAGCAGCAGTGGGGAAAGCAGCAGGTGAGTCACAAGGCTTTCTTGGCCCCCCTTCGCTCCCCTCCCTCCATCAGCATGTCTCTCATGGCTTGCTTGCTTCCTTGCAGCAAAAAGAAGAGGAGTAGGAGTCGTAGCAAGAGCCGTGACCACAGACACAGGTAGGGATGGCCCTGAAGAGAGCAGAAAGGAGGTGGACAGGCCCTGCCTGGGGTGGCACATAAGCAGAGGGGATCCCCACTTAAGAGAGCTGGCACAGGACCTTTCAAAAGCAGGGGGAGTGGGGTTGCCATAGAGCATGAGAACTCCCAGAAAGGCAGCGAAGTCAGTCCTTGTTTATTTAATTTTTTTACCATTGTTGCTGTGGCTGTTTTAAAACACCTGATAAATTCCTTACTTAATAAATGGAGTGACTGTCCCGACCAGTGTTTCTCAACCTTGGCAACTTGAAGACGTGTGGACTTCAACTCCCAGAATTCCATGGCTGGCTGGGGAATTCTGGGAGTCAAAGTCCACACGTCTTCAAGTTGCCAAGGTTGAGAAACACTAGTCCAAACAGTTAGCAAGTCATTCCTTGGTTTGTTGTTGATCAAAGAGTCATTCTGCTTTCCAAGGTTTCTCTTTCTTTGTTTTTTTTCCCCACTCGGCTAAATGGAGACTTGGTCCCCCAACAATCCAGTTGTGGGGAAAATGGCAAAGACCTTCCCCCACCTCACCCCCAGTGCAAAATCTGGTATGGTTTTCTTTCTAGCCGTAGCCGGGACCGAGACCGTCATCGTAGACGCAGCCGCAGCCGAGATCGCCGCAGTCGTCACCGGAGTAGAAGCCGCCATCGAAGCCGCAGTCGGGATCGTAGGCGAGCCAGCCGATCTCGTAGCAGAGAGCGCCGGCGGGAGGAGAGAGTGCGCTACCGCAGCCCACCTCCCCCAGGGTAAGCAGTGTCAGCATGTGGAGGGTTGCGGGAGAGGGGATCTTTCTGCAAGAGCTGAAAGAATAGCGACCTGAAACCAAACCAGGAAATGGAATTGAAGCAGGCTGAATTCTTCTGGGATTTTTCTCATTCTCCAGTTCTTAGCTCCGCCTCCCTGCCTCCAGCTTGGAAAACGTTTTGAAGTATGAATGTGTAAAACCTGCTAGTTCACTTACGGAACGTTTTGGACCATTGCCGAATATTTGGGTTTCCTCTTGGGCCCATGCCGGTATGAGAGCGATTAGGAAGTTTCTGAAAGTAAATTGTCGAAACCAATGTAGCTTGGGATGTGACAGGCAGACCAGTCAGAAAACAGGCCTGTTTCATCTGGAATTCCCCATCTGGGGTATCTGAAGCCACTCCCAGTTCAAAGGATTTACTTTTGAAAACTGCAGAATCATCCTTGGTACAGCATGGTGACAGATGGAATGCAAGAGTTTGTATACCCCTATTTTCTGAGGGCGGTAGTGGTAACCTCATTATACAGTGACATCATCAAGGAAACTCGTGCTACATAACCCTTGCTGTCCTTGTGGCGCCTCTGTTGAAGTTGTGATCTGGGCTTGTGTTCTGTTTTCTCTGCAGACGACGGTTTGGACACAGCAAGAGCCCCTTGTACAGAGAGAAGAGCCCCCTCCGGTGAGTATTCCAGCTGCTGGGTGGCTGAGAGGACTCTGAAGGGTCTCTCCTCTCCTCTCCTCTCCTCTCCTCTCCTCTCCTCTCGGCCTGTCTCAGAATCACTTCCATTGTCTCCAACAGGGAGCCTTTAGGCAGCTTGAGTCCTGAAGAGCGAGATGCCCGCACTGTGTTCTGCATGCAACTAGCTGCCCGCATCCGCCCCCGTGACCTTGAGGACTTTTTCTCTGCTGTTGGCAAGGTCATATTCCCTTCCCTCCTTTCTGGCTTTGGCAAACACTTACTTTGCCCCAGGCCTGGGTGACTTCTGGCCTGTTCAGCACTTAGTTCCCAACAGCGGTCTCAGTTAACTGGAGTTGTGGGTTCCCCAATCTTGTTTTATCCCTAGAAACAACAGCATGAAATATTCAGGACCCGGGGCTCTTCCCCTAATCTTTTTCTCCTCAATTGTCACTTTCCTTGGGCAGGTGCGAGATGTGCGGATCATCTCTGACCGAAATTCCCGCCGCTCGAAGGGCATTGCTTATGTTGAGTTTTGTGAGATACAGTCAGTACCGTTGGCCATTGGGCTGACGGGGCAACGCCTCCTCGGTGTACCAATTATCGTTCAGGCTTCCCAGGTTTGGAACTTTTTGTTAAAGAGCTAAACTCTACAGTCACCGAAGAAATTAGGAAGGAGGGCATACGTGCTGAGAAGCATGAGATTGGCCAGAGGAGTATGGGTTTGATTTTTGAGGTGCATATTTAATAAATAGGGATGGGGTGGAAAATAAAATTCGAGGGGCTGTGAAAGGGGTCAGCCCAAGGAATGCTGGAGACCCCGGTGATTAGATGGGGGAGTCAGGAATCCATAACTGCAAAGCCAAGGCTTTTTAAAACGCTTGTGTGTGCATGTGTGTATACTGTTCATGTACACACAAAATAGGAATTATGGCTTGAAAAAGAGGGCTGATGACTTGTGCAGAAATCACTCACATAATTGGGTTAGGAATGGATCGTAGGTGACTCGCCTTGATTTCCCAAACATGCATTGCCCTACAGTTGGATGAAGCTCTTCCATTTCCATCACTGTTCTGGGCAAAAAGTTGGGATTGCTTCTTTAAAAACAAATGTGGGTTATTTCTGGCTGAACAAATATGGGTTATTTCTGGCTGTTTTTAAACACCCCCCCCCCCCCCCCGTGGCCTTAGGCGGAGAAGAACAGACTGGCAGCCATGGCTAACAACCTTCAGAAAGGCAGCGGTGGCCCCATGCGGCTGTACGTTGGTTCGCTTCACTGCAACATCACCAAAGAGATGCTGCGTGGGATCTTTGAACCTTTTGGCAAGGTTGGAGATGGGGTGGGAGGAGGACAGGGGGTGGATCCTGGAGCAGAAGGGGATTGCCTTGGCTTTCTAACCGGGGCCGCTTTCTCTCTCCTCTGCAGATTGACAGCATTGTGCTCATGCGCGACCAGGATACTGGGCAGTCCAAGGGCTATGGCTTTATCACCGTAAGTTGTATGGATTCTTCTCCCCACGGGGCAGGGAGAAGGTTGGCCTCTGCTACTCTTCTCTAAGGTACGTGCTCCTTTGTCCAGTTTGCAGAAGCAGAATGTGCCCGACGTGCCCTGGAACAGCTGAACGGTTTCGAGTTGGCTGGCCGGCCCATGCGGGTGGGACAAGTCACTGAACGGCTGGATGGCACCACTGACATCACTTTTCCCGATGGTGCCGAGGAGCCTGACCGGGCAGCCCTGAACTTGGGGACCACTGGCTCCCAGCTGCAGCTGATGGCTAAACTGGCAGAAGGTGAGGCTTTCTGGTAGAAATTTGGTAGGGCCCGGTAGCAACGAAATGATTCCTCCTGGGATGACGGAGGTACATTGTTAGGAACAGTATGGAATGGAAAATCTCGAGGTCAGTGCTGAAGGGAGGCATGAACAGAAATTGCACAAAAAGGTGAAGTTTTATCAATTAGTCAAACAGGACAGTCTGTTGATCTGGTGTAAAGGGAATTGCATAGAATGGGAGTCACTGCCAGAAAGGCTTTGGGGCCTGTGTTGCCTTACGTATGGAATCTCCAATAGTGCATCTTTCCAGACCATCCTTCTTGAAGGGTCAAGAGATGATGGCCCTGTGTATCTGCCAGGCCATTGTAGGCTTTGATCTTTAAATCCTTCATGTGGGAGACTTGCTTTGTGATGAATGACTAGATAGGAGGTACCTCTGTCTGTTTAAGCCAATTACAGCCACCGCTGCACCTGGTCCTGTCGCAAAGGTGACAGAAATCCGTATCCCTTTTGACAGTATCTATGCTGACTTTTCTTTCTGAATAAATTTCCTGATGATAGTTCTGTTCCTCATGAGGAGAGAAGCTAGTTGGGTAGAAGAGAATCTGTGAGGATTGAGGTGGTAGATAAATTGAATGAATTTTATTGATACTGATATTTACTTTATTTTATATTGATTTAACTTATATGATTTTAAATATAAAATAGATATATATTAAGATATACATTTAATATTAATAACTTAAATATGACTAGCTTACATCCCTCTTGGCCTTCTCCCATGTGCATTTGTCCAACAGGACTTCCTTCCTTAACAGAAGCCCATAGTTCTCCCTTTTGGCTAAGAAAGGTTGACCTTAAGGCTGGCCAATGCTATAGGGTTGGGAAGATGCTGGAAAAGAAGTCCAGATAAGGTACAGTGGGAGATGGTAAAAGATTCCTTGGCTTAACACCACTGTTGGCTCCACAGGAGGTTTATTTTTTGAACCGGATCAATTGTATATATTACATTCTCTTTGAATATTGCGCTTGCTCCGGGGAAATTGTCAGACTGCTCCAATTTCTGTTTGCTTTTGAAGAGTAGAAGGCAAACATTTGTTACCTGGAAGCACAGGAAAAAACAAAACAAAACAGGGCTTAGTCATCTATTTCATCTTTGGGGGAGGTTTTTCTTTCCTTCTGGAGATGGGAGAGTGACGGGCATGACTGACCAACATTGGCAAAGGCCTTCAGATGCGACCCAGCACCAGGGCTCTGTAATTGAAATTGGCAAAATTGTGTGCAGGACACCAGCTCCCCTAAGTCACAGCGGGCATGCTCTCACCTCTGGAAGATGTCAGGTTGAGAAGCTGGTCTTTCTAAAGGCCTTGAGCGGAGCAGCCTTGTTCTTCCGTCCCCAAATAGCCCGTCTTGTGTTTTCCCCACACAGCCGGCTCTGGGATTCCACTGTCCACAACAGCGGCGGCCCAGGCCGCCTTGCAGCTTAATGGAGCGATACCCTTGGGAGCACTGAACCCAGCTGCCCTGACAGGTAAGGCAGGGTATATATCTGGGCTGGGCTGACAGGACCTGTTGGGAGGGGCCTTGATCAGAGCCAAGCACACAGCTCCCTGATAACGGCCCTGTGGCAGCGTTTTTCAAACTTGGCAACTTTTAAGATGCGTGGACTTCAACTCCCGGAATTCCCCAGCCAGTCGGTGCAGGGCCTCTGCTTTGAGTACCAGCAGTTCTTCAGGGGCTTCAGTTGGAGACTGGCCGGGCTGCTCTTTCGAACTGGAGGTGTGGCCGGTTGGCCGTGGGGCCTCCCCCATGGAAAGCCTGCCTTCTGCCACCACTAAACTAAATCCAACTAAATGTTTCTCCAGACCACTGTGTCACTGCAGCAAGAGCACCCTTTAGCCTTTTTTCCGTGGGAAGTTATTTCCAAGATCCTAACGCTTTTCTTCTTCCACCCCCACCCCACCCCCCGTAGCTCTTAGCCCAGCACTGAACCTGGCTTCACAGACATTGGCCTCCCAGTGCTTCCAGCTTTCAGGCCTCTTCAGTCCCCAAACAATGTGAGTAACTGAATAGCAAAGTCCGGGGCAGCAAAAAGAAGCATTTTTGGCTTTATACTCAACATTTGACTTGCGTACCTTTTATAACCTAACTAAAGATCTGTAACTCGATCAGGTGGACTCTTGTCAAATACATACTGCCTGAAAACTTTGGGGTCCTTCTCCCCCTCCCCAAAGACCTCAGCCTGACAATTTCTTGGGCCCAAAAGTTTTCCTCATCCCTTAGATTTTATGTGAGTGGTTTCACCTACAAGATTGCTTGCCTTGCAGATTCTGCAGCACCCAGATGTGTTCTTCGACTAATAATTTCCCCTGGAGCTTTACTCTCGGTTTCATAATCGTTTCATTTGCTTTTTGTCATCTGCCATATTTGGGCATGAAAATTGAGTGGCAGAGTGGAGGGGGTGAGACCGAGAGGGGGAGATGGAAAAGGCTGTGCCATCCAGGCTGGGGACTGGGGGAACTGAAGGCACCAGTTTGGGGAGGAATGGGAGGCGTGGCTTGTGCTGCATGGAAGATAGGATGGCGAAGAAGGCTCCTAACCTCTGTCTGTTTTCCTTGTTTTTGCAGGTAACGCAACCCAGTTCCCCCCCTTCCCGCCCTCCCTCTCCCACGGAGCTAGGAGGGGAATAATCATCTCCACACTATTACCGCCTCACCTGCCCCCATTGGATACAAGGCTGGGGGATGGACTTTGAAGGAACACTCCCTCCCTAGGGGACCCTTCTTAACACGAACTCTGATTTTATTCTGATTTCCCTCCCACCAAGTGGGGGGGGGGGAGCCTGTATTCTTGCCCCCCCCAGTTCTCGAATCATAATTGGAGGAGGTGCATTATCCCCCTCGGGGGAGCTTCACAGGGACTGGAGGGACCTCCTTCCCCCAGATGTGGAATCGCAGCATCTCTTCATTTTGCTTTCTGACGGAGCCCAGTGGGGCTGCAGGGCCAGGAAGACCCTCGGCCGCTCCTCTCTCCCACCCTCTGCTCTCGGACCATGTTGTGAGGCTTTGCTGGATGGCTTTGGGTGGTTCTCCCTGCAGATGGGATCGGCGTGCACGCATGCTGTACATAGAAGGGAGAGGCACAAACTGGCATGTGGGTGGGAGGCCTGGTCCTGAGAGGAGACCCTCCTTGCCCACGCAGTGTTTTGTTATCCCCCCTCAATCTGTAAAGAGGCTGCATAACGTGTGGGGATGTTGTCCTGTCCTTTTCCTTTTCCTTTCCCTCATTTTTCTTGACTCTGTATCCTGTTCTTGGTGTCCCCGTTTTCTGCTGCACCTTCCCTCGGAGTCCCTCAGACCACCTCTTCCCCCATTCCAGATTTTCAAAGGTGTACTTTGGTTTTCTTTTTATCTCTTTCGATTTCCTTTTTTTTTTCTTTTCTTAAAAAAAAAAAAAAAAAACCCCCAAATAAACCAAAGGTGTTGGCCCATTTTTAACCCCCCCCCCCCCCCCGGGCACTATAAGGATGGGGAAGAGTTTCTTCTGAAAAGAGATGGAAATCTGTAGGGTGAGGCTAAAATATTGGGGGGGGGGCGATATTTCTCAACAGGGAGAGCCCTAGTGAGAAGGGAAAGGAAGGTATAGTTCTTAATTTGGGTCAGTATTTCCAAAACCTGTTTGGTAATGCATCCTTCCCTCTTCTCTTCCTTTTGCCCACCCCCCCAAGGTATGTACGATTTGAGATATGAGAAGAAAGCGTCCACGTAAAATACTTAAACGCTTCTCTATAGGAGTGATTAAAAGGAAAATTCCTTCCCCTCCCCCCAAAAAAGTACTAAGGCTAGGAACAAAGTATTAATAAAGTGGGGTACCCATTCTGTGGTGTCGGATTTAATTTAGCTTCCCAAGCCTGGAGCCTTTGACTTCGTTTCATCCCTGTGGGCGCATTAGCGGCATCGCTGTGGCTTGGCCTCGTCTCCACAACTCGCCAGTGACCCAGAGGAATTGGCAGATGGGCCGGCCCCTTCAATCGGCTTCTGGCAGAAAGGTTGGGCCATTTATGCAATTTTGAGCCTTTGTCTTTGCAGAACGCCTGCCACAGGGAAAGTGTCCTGTCCCTGCGGTCAGCCGGGGGTCCCCTCTCCTTTCCCCTCCCTGCCCTTCTTGCCCCCACTCTCCGTGGAGCAGAAGCTGCTGTTTGTAGATGTTGCTTCTGATCCCACCAGCCTGGGAAGGGGCCCACGTTCTTGGCTCCTTCATGGCTGGCGTGACAAATCCCACAAGGTATCGGTGGGATGGGGACAGGAGGCAAAAGGTGCCCTGGGTTTTCTGACACAGAGGGGTTGGTTTTGCTTGCAGGCAGGCTGGTTTTTGGGGGATTGGGTGCTGTCGTCCTGTACCCCTTTGCTTTGTTCCTGGCTCCGAGGTGAAGCTTCAGCTGAGCAGCAGACGGATCTGAACGTAGGCGGGTGAGGCTTGGGGGCAAGTTCATTTCCCCGGGGAGCCCCCTTGCCCTGCGTGGCATCCTTGCCAAGTTGTGGGGCCCCTCCCCACCCCAGGAACCCAAAACTGAGACTCCACCTTGCCATAGATGGCCCCTTCATTCCTCTTCCTCTCCCCACCCTGCAATAGCCTTACCTCCCTCGTCCTTGATCCCTGTTCCCAAAGGCTGGATGCTGGGCGCCGGTTGCTAGCGTGTCCTAATACAGTAAGCAGAAGTTGGTTGCTGTGGCAACGGGAAACATCCTGTCTCCATGGCAACTCCCCAACTGTGGACCACAAGGACGTTTCCATGGCAAAGTGATGGGTATCTCATACCTTCTCCCCTTCCCCCCTTCCAAACTCAATTCAGTTTCGGGAGTCGTGAGCCATGGAGATCTCTACAGAGGAGGATGGCCAGGTTGGGTGGGTGGGGGGGAGTAGGAAG